TCCTCGTCATGTGCCCGTCCCGCCCACATGGCCAGTGTGGTTTTCAGGGGCCAGTCGGGGTGGGAGGGCAGGAGCAGAGCCTGGAGCAGAGAGCAGCTCGGGGACCCTCCGTTACCGATTGAATTGTGTCTGCAAAAGTGGTGTTGAAGTCCTGACCCTGTGCCTGCAGATGGGGTCCGTTTGGGAACAGGGTTTTCTCTGCTGCATTAATGCGGCCCTATCGGTGCAGGGTGGGTCCTAACCTCAACCACGTCACGTCCGAGTCACGAAGAGCAGCTTAGACACAGTGACAGGCACGGGGGGGGAAGACAGACGCCACCTGAGGATCGCCAAGGAGGCGAGGGGCACCTGGTATAGAAGCTGAAGGAGACAAGGACCTTGCCCAGAGCCGACAGAGAGCCCGCCCCTAGAGCTTGCGCCCTGAATTCGGACAAGTAGCCTCCTGAACTGTGAGGAAATGAGTGTCTGCTCCGTAAAGCCGCCGCCCACCACGGTGTTTCCGTTACAGCAGCGCTCTGAGGCTGAGGCCTTGTTCTCAGCGTTGTCCCGGGAGGTGTTTCTGGACGCCCTCTGGCTCTGCTGAGTCTCCCTCACTTTCTGTCTTCCAGCTATGCCTCAAACGGGTCTGTCTACTTCGACACGGTAAAGTTTGCCTCGAGTGAGAAGCACTCCTACGCCAAGCTGGTGCCCGAAGCCGTGGGAGATCAGAAAGCCCTCCAGGAAGGGGAAGGTAAGACACAGGAACAGCCGCGGAAGGATCGGGGCGCACGCCCACGCCTGCCCTCCGCGCCCGCGGGGCACTCGGGACCGTCCCTGAGGGTCACCAGAGCAGTGTGGTTGTTTTCCCGTCGAGGAAGCACAGTGGTTTCCTGCAGCAGCACCGTGAAACATCATTCTTTAAGAAATAAAAAAGGGAGCAAATAATGCCGTCTTGGCTCGTTTGGCGGCCATGGGATCTTGGCCCGCAGGGTGGGTGTTGTGTATTCGGCACTGCCTTGAGCTCTGGTGGCATAGTGGTAAAGTGATATGGCTGCTAACCAAAAGGTCAG